TTTGATTATAAGATTCACTTCATAAATGCCACTTTACCACAACTAGAGAAACCTCCCACTGTGTGTACTCCAGTGAATCCACAAACCCCAAGAGCAGCAGACGCTATGTAAACAGCGAAGTAAACAGCTGTAGTAGTATGATGGTATGTCTCCTGGTCTCTTCTTGTACATGTACATATCTTGCTCAGTCACGTGACTGATGTAGGAAGCAACATTTGAGCTGCATGGAAGAGCACCCTTGTGTCAGTCTCACATGGAGATTTCAATACAAAGTGCACGTCATTGTTCTCTGGATTTTAAATTATAGCAGACAAGATTCATTGTGAAGTACAGGCCACAGCAGTGGAAGTAAGAATGACATTCATTCAAGAGGAAATGTTGTAGTCTCATTTTGTTAAAACGCTTTGATAGAAATGAATGCCAGGATGCGCCAGTAGGTATTTATTTGCTAGTCAGAAACAGGGTAGATGTTGGGAACAACAATGACTTTGAGTGATGCTGCTGCTCATTCTGTTTTGTACTAGTCTTCAACGGTTCTTCATCATAAACACCATTAATGAAGTGAAATGCCACTGCTTGTCGGTGTCGGCTAGTGACATACTTGAAGAGACTAAGGGCATATTCAGACCATGTCTAGCTTGGTGGTACTTTATTAAATATAATTCCAACATCTATTAATGCATGATAATGTGATGGCGGTGAGATCAATTGGAGGTTCATCAATGTTATGAACTTTGATTTGACAGGTTTGTGTAAGATGCCATCTGCTAAGAAGAGCAAAAGGCTCACAGAAGTAATTCTGTATTGCCTGATTTCTTCTAAAGTCATGGTAGTCTCTTCTGTTGGTGAGAAGGTCAATGATTTGTTTCATTGCAGTATGGTCAACTGTTTTCCTACACTCTTGCTTGCTCTTATTTGCAGTTGTCTTTGTTGCAAAGGTCTTGCTTTTCCTTGTGGTAATAGTGTCATGTATTGACTTAACTCCAGAAGAAAGTCTCTCCAGAACGTTTCCGCCATCACATTACCCTCAGCATGGGATGTGTGGAGACTCTTCCTTACCTCTTCTGTTGCTGGCTCTCCAGAGCAAAGGGAATGAAGAGTTGGTTGATTCAGATCTCTTTGGTCCGCATCCCATTTTTTCATGGCTGTCTTTACAACATCAGCAAATTTTCAGTGGAAGACCAAACTCCTGATAAGGACACCTGTTATGTGCACAAAGGTTTGTTAGACCTTCAGCCTCACCAGGGGTCTGTAGGATTTGGGACAACAAAAGGGTTAATTCCCCTGGACATCGGCTTGCAGCCTGGCCCCATCCAGAGGTATACCACTATCAATGAAAACTTAACACTAAGGCAAACGTTAACAAGAATATATTATCAAGGTAAGGATAAAAAAAAAACAGCAATAATAAATCCAAATTACAACAATGAACCAGTCAATAGAGAGTTAAGAGAACATTATATACTATAATAGATATAAGAAAGAATCAATGCAGGCCTGTCACCAGAGGTGGCTGGCAAGATCATTCTGAAGTTGACAGGCTTGTCAGCCTGTCACAGAGTGCCTATTCCGTAGAGGATTTCTATCTTTTCCTCGCTTGCAGTGAGTACTCAATACCTCCAAAGGGATGGGTGATACTTTACCGTCAAAAGGTATGCAGGTGAATACAGGTGAGTAGAGGATGGTTCTGTCTATGAGTGTATCCTTCCTTGTCTATGAGTGTATCCTTCACGAATGGATGGAGTTCAGTTACACACTCCACTCAAGCAACTCTCCTGCTAATCCCACATGAGCAGGCGTCACACCACATGCTCATCAAGTGACTCAGTTTCTCACAAGCTTTCAGTCCCAATTGGATGCAGCACGCGCTGACACTAACTCAGTCACTCTCCCAGGCAAGCACCCAGCCACCACACAGGCTCACGGTGCACACAGACTCAATCACTTCCTCAGTAGCTCTCCAACCTGACAGGTTTTATAGTATCCACCTCATGCCACCTGTCAATCATATGCCAGAACCAGTTATTAGACAGATCCTTCCATCATTCATCTGTCCATCACATTACTGACCAATCTGTTGGGTTGTTACCTCAGGTAAGTATTTCATGCCACACTTTACATTGGAAACATGTTACCTCAGTAGTCAACTTATATAATACAGGCTGATTGCGCATGCTTGTCAGTCCTATGTAGGTCAACAGACCCATAAGTTCAAGAGTTCACTCTTCTCCATCCGGGATACTGCAGCTGGGGTTAACAGAGTCCATCTCCATTCTTGACGGACTCCGTTCTGGATGGTGATACAAGGGTTGCTTGAAACGAGCCACCTGTTTTAGTTGTTTCCTTAACCACATAATAACCGGTTTACTGAGTATGTTGGTTGCAACCATGGGTAGATTCTTGGTAAATCCAGTCCAGCTCCTACTTCTTCTGTTCTTGGATTCTTTGTTCATGGTCATTTCAATGACATAGTGTGCAGGCAGTTTGCTGTAAGTCTTTCTAGTCAATGAAAATGAAAACATTATAGCCATGTGCACCATTTCATCTTCTCTCAATGTTGTCATTTGCCAGTAATACATGGACAGGTATGTTAGATATTTGACATTTCCATTAGCTGCTAACAGTGGAAGCATTCTATGGCAAGTCAGTAAGTACTCCTCGAAATTCATTCCACTCCTCAGACAATGGTAATGTTGAAAGAGGATTTCAACATCAGTGATATAAGAAGGAAAATACTTAGCCATATCTGATTCACAACTGTGCACTTCAAACATTGAATGTACCAATTAGAAAAGTGACCCCCAGGCTAAATTTCTGTCTTAGCATCTCAGTTATGAATTTCAAAAATAAAAAAGGTCCCTCAGAAAAAATGCATGGGCTTTATGTGTGTGACTGGATTATAGGTCTGTTTCATCTGAGGCTCGTAACATCTACCACAAGTGGGTGTCATGTTCATATCTCATATTGAATTCCTCAAACCATACTTCAACCAGTTTCATTTGTTTTATAGAGCATTTCCCTGAGCTGGAAACAGTGATGAAGAGTTAAAGGAGATACTCTTAGTCTATTTTGAATCACACATGTTAGTCCTTCCTGTTTGTTGAGCTGGAAGAAAGAATGGCCTTTTAAGCGGATTATATGTTTGTTCAGTAAATGTAAATTGAATTTTTCGTTGGTGGTACACGGAGTTTATTGGATGCTGACCCCCCGCCATTTAAATTGACTTTTGGTTAAATTCCACCATGTGCTGTGCTGGTTTGCTGTGTTGCTTACTCATGTTGGCTAATAACTATAAATGTTGTAGATTTCAGTACAGCCTGTTTGCAAGTCTTTCTTTGTTTCCATTCTTCTAAGGAACTTTACAGTTTTTAGAACCTGCCCTCTCTTTTTTTTTCTTGTTCTCTCTTCCTGTTCTGTCTTTATTTCTTTCCTTTAGTCAGGGGTTTGGATTGGTAGAAGCAGTGAAAAGGGGGAACCTACCTGTATTTCTAAATGCTTGCTGTTATCACAACAGGATTTTAAGTTTTGGATGCTGCATTGATCTGGCTAAGTGGTAACAGAAGAAAGCAGAAGCAATCTAGTTTTACATTTTTACTTGAAACATTTTACATAAATTGGCAAAATTATAAGTCACTGAAAGCAGGGTATTTAACAGAGTTGTCAGTTAACCTTATAAAAATATATGTAGTGCTAATAGATTGTTCAGTCAAATATTTTTCTTCAAAAAGAATTTTAGCATTTCATGTGGTGTTCTATAGACAGTATGTTGTAAAGTTGTCCTTTTTATTTTCACTGTTGAAAAAGCACACCCTCTGATGGCTTTACCAGAGTAAAAGGCCAGATCCAGTGGCAAGCAGCCAGTACAGTTGTCCAGGCCCCAGCCATGGTGAGCCTCACCAAGCCAGGGTAGTTTTAAGTCATCCAGTATGCAGATGTGGACACTGGTAGCATAACATCGAGTGGGCAAGTGGAGCACCAGCCCTAGGTGCCCACTTAAAGGGCACCAGAATGGCAGCTTCCCCTGGAAGTTGGTGCTGCAGCAGCCACCCTCCTCCCAGCAAACAGAGGGTTTTGCCTAAGGTTCAAAATTAGTGGGCCCCTCTATTCTCCTATCTAACACCAGCTCTAGATCTTAGTAATGTACAACTAACTATGTTCACTGTACAGTTTCATGTCTTATAACTGAAAATTCCTTCTTTGGGTACATGACTGCTGAAAAGCTCTGGACCTGCCATAGTACTTATTGGATTTGTGTATTGTTGGTTGTTGGGTTATTCTATTTGTTCTTTTTCCCTTCCAGTGTTTCTGTTGTAATTCGATGTGCAAAATGTCATGCTTTATCACGTGTAAAACAGCTTTCATCCATGTTGGTTGTCACAATGTTTATCTGTAGATTTCTTATGAGAGATGTATGCATGTTTGTGGGGGGGGGGTTTAGGTTTAAGTAATAATAAAACGTGCTGTTCAAAAAGGTTTAGGTTTCTGACAGTTGTTGCTTGATTTTTTAATTGTATACAATATTAATATATAAATGATAGATTACCTGAGGCAGCCAGTAAAAGAATCAAAATAGATACGTTTGTTTCCCAACTTTTCCTAATTTTCTTTTCCCAAATAAATGGCTTTTGTAGCGTGCCCAAGAGAAGGTCCTCAAATTCAAATAATTATGGAACAGTAATGTAATCCCAGATGATGATATCTTTCAGTGTGCAAACATAAACTGTACATACATGGAAAGTGTACCAAGAACAGAATTCAATGACAATACACTTCACTGAAAATAAGTCCATGGCAAATTTAAATTGATAAAATCAAGTCAAATCTACATTAATGTGACTATTTTATTTTTTGTTGTTGTGCCTTGTTTTTTGTATAACAAAAATAATATTTTGGTAGCTTCCAAAGGTATAGATTTCAGAAACATACATGATGCAGTAATTTTGAATGATTTTTCATGTCTAATGTTTTGTTTTCCTTCTGTTTTTTGTGTCTTGCATTAGTAACTGAAGTCCATGTACCTCAAAATGTCTCTTCTGATGTTCTGCTGGAGCATTCTTTACCTTCTGCTTGCCTTGTTCCTTCTGAATCCTTCATTTTATCAAGTGATAATGTAGTGACAGCTGTTCAAACAGGCAACAGCATTTTAAATCCAGCTGTTATTAAAGAACAGGTAAAAACAATCTGTTTTTTTTTTTATTACAGGAAATTAATGTATTTAATTAGTCTCTTGGCATTGTATTTTTTCTTAGCAAATTAGAGATTGTTTTGTTTTTCCTAAAGGACAAAATTTGACCATTGAGTGTATTTGAAGGGTATATTTTAAAAATAAATGTATCAGTTACCCATCTAAATATTAAATATGAAATGAAGTACCTTCTGAATTATGGCAGAAGATATATTTTAAAATGTTTATCAACCTAAATATTTTCAGTGTATCAGTATTTTCTTAGAGAGAGGATTTATTTTTATGTTAATTTTTATTCATTGCCATACTTTTTTGTGGCGCTCAATAAAAATAAGTTCATTAAGATGTGTAGTACATTTAAAAAAAAGTGTAAAAATGTTTTTAAAAATTTAAAAATTTGTTCAATGGGGTAATAAGGCTGAAATACAGGAGATCTTAGTAGTAATGTTCCTTAGGAGAAAAAATTGCTGGTAAAGCTACCAAAGACTTAAGAAATAGACACTTTTATGAATGTCATATCTATCAGCTTTGGGATTAGACAGTTTCTGATATGTTCTTAAAATGTTAACAATTACTGTCTCCTGTCCACATGTGTTCTGTTTGTTCTGTGTCATTTGAAGCTTTGGGCTATCTTGTAAATACCTTCGCTCATAATTAGTAGTATGTTGCTCCATTAGCTTCCATGAGGTTATTCGTGGTTCAGTTAATTAGGTGCCGCCAGTCTGGCTGTTGGTCAAATCATGTTCTAATGGTTTTTCAGAAGCATTTTTTTTGTGGCAGTGTTTTGGAGACTACTTTGTTTAACCAACATATAATGTACAGGTTGATATTTAAAGACTAATGCTAGAAATATACGTTCTCCTTTAAATGGCTACTGCATATTTACACACAGGATGTACCAGTTGTTGATGCTTCAACAGTAGAACCACAGCCAGTACTGACCACTGAAATGATCAAACGCTTCTTCCTATCTCTCCCTTTACATTCAGTTGTAAGGCTGTAAAAGGGGCTGGGGGGAGGAAGAATGTGACAGAGCACTCTAGCCACCTCAGTTCTTTCCTGATTTCAGCAACCAAGGATTTGGAACTGATCTGACCCTTTGCCTGGGTCACTTTTTAGAATAAGAGGTGGTGTCTCTTTCATACTTTGCTTTACATTAATTTAGAATTGTACATAGTTAAAATTTTAAATAAGTTTTTAGTAGTTTGGGAATGTTGTATAACAATATATTTACAATGGTACTACAGCTTTTAGAAAAAGAAAATATAAGAAGTCAGCTAAACTGAGCTAGTGTAAATACTCAATAGTGATCATTGCTAGTGCTGGTTGTATAGAAAATTTTTGTGGATTGTGGGCACCTGCTCATAGACCTATTTGTAAACAAACTTTATACAAATTTTGTAAGTCTTGTTTAAGGGCCAGAAAGAAGAGTTGCTCAATCTTAGATTAATTCCTCATGAGTGAGAATAGGAGGAGGCCACTTGCTGGAGAAACAAAGGTTATTTACTTGCAACCAGGAGTTTGATATAGACTTTGCATATTCATACTCCTGAGGGAACTCATTGGATGGACACACCATGAGTACTTCAGTGGGCTCTTCTAGCTAAGGTTCCACTACCGTAGCTCTGCATCACTTGGGTGGGAATGTGCAGAGTCCAACTTCAAGGTCTTTTGATTGCAAGCAACTGCTTTAATTTTCAAAGGTCTTAATTTAAATAACTTCAAAATATCTGTTGTTTATTATTTGACACCAAACAGTGTACTTTTATTTCTCTAGGTTAGGTTATCAACTGGTTCTTCCTTGGATATCCCAATTCCCTCTTTGAGTTTACCTGGTGAAAAGCCTTTAGTAATATCAACCATCTCTGTAGATGATGAACAGCGGGAGGGGTCAAATGGATCAAAGAGCTGCCTTCAACAAACAGTTGCAAGCCTAGAGACTAAACTCAAAGTTGCTGAAGAAGAAAAATGCAGAATTAAAAAGGTATGACTTCTAGAGCAGGCAGTGGCACCCAATTTGAGCAGCTAATGCTTTCCTTTATCGTATCCTGTTTCAGTTATAACATTGCCAAATTTCAGTTGTTCAGGCTAAGATTTCTTTATAAAGACGGTGTCTTTCTTTGGATGAATTTTCATTGTAGGCCTTGCCAGAGAGGGCTCAGCCTATTCTAAAAGTGAGGTTAGGGAAAAGTATATGACCTTTTTAACATGTTTAACATTTTTACACTCATTGTCCATACAAGTTTTAACACTATCAAACTCTAGAGGAAAGGGGAGAGGTGCCCTTGCTGTCCCTGCCAATCTCATGTTCTGTACATGTTCATTAAAGCCTTGCAGTTGAGTTCTTATGATTCTGTCTGCATTCAACATGCTACAGCTCTGAGATGAGCAGGACATTTTGCCACAAAATGCTTCTCTCATCTACTGAGGGCTACTATGATGCTGGAATTGAGTGGAGTAACTGTATTTCCAGTGCTTCATTTGCCTAACATCCATCTAATAAATAAATATCAGGGTAGCATGGAGGAGAAAGAGGAATTGGCTTGATTAAAAGGCAGAAGGCTTGAGATGTGAGGGCAGGCTAGGGACAGGATGGGGACCGATAGGAGCTGTTAAAAGAGATAAGCTACAAGTGGAGGAGAAATACAATACATATGTATTGAAGGAGAGACACTATGCAACAGGGACAGGGGGTAGGCTTCAGAGAAAGCAGGAAGGCAGAAAGGCAGAAGGGTCTGTAATCTTTTCTGCCCAGTTGAATTTAAGGTTTTGAGTCAGTTTCTTTCTATATAACAAGTAATTGTAAAACTCACTGCCTGTACTGCCTGTCTCGTTCCCTTGTATTGGTTTACATGGGAGACATCAGTCTGCTGTTGTCATCAATTGCTCTGTCAGTACAAAGAGGAACTGCTGAAGCTATGGCCCCCTCTAGATGTTCAGGTAAAGGCAGTATTGGATTTGATATGGGATCCACACAATCATGCCTCCTGCTGTGCCACATGTGCATGGCAGGAGGTATGATTGATGGATCCAGCATCAGATCCAGTCATGCTTTATTGTCAGTACAGGGGGAGCCCATGTGCTGCTGTGACTGCAAGCCCTGCAGCTGATGAGGTTCACAGCCCCAGCAGCGTCTCCTGTGGGTATAGGACACCACAGGGGAGCACCTGGACACATATTCAGTTAATGACATGATAAGAACAAGCCACAAAGTTATTGCACTCTTTTGTGGAATAACTTTGTGGCTTATTCCTTGTTCTATCACATGATTAATTGGTTGAACATGCTGCTGGAACACAGCTTAAGACATGATTAACTAGTTAATCATGTCTTAAGTCTACCATGTAGATGGGACCTTAGGTTCTAAGGGTGCCTAGACATGTGCTCTGGGGTGGAAGAGGGTGGGGAGGAGGGGAGACATTTTAATTAGAGTGGCTCTTGGGAGCTACTCTAATTCAACAAGCTTTAGTTAAAGTGCCCCCACTACCATTTTGAAATGTGGGACACTGAAGGCATGAGACACTGCATCATGCATATTACGTGCTGCATCACGGATTAATTGAGTGTGCTCCAACGTGTTCTAATCAGGACATGCTGGAGCATGTGTATAGGCACCCTAAGTTTTTAGCCCTAATGCTGAAGCATATGGAGTTCCTTATGGCTCTACATGATGGAATTTCTGGGTTTTAATTTTTTTTTCAAAAACTTAGAAGATTTAAAATTCTTTTCACTTTATAATTTAAAATAGTAAAACCAGACATTAAAAATAAGGTAGTATTGGAATTAGTTTCTTGCGATCTTCAGACTGAGCAACCTAAATTGAAGAATACAGTTGACAGCTCAGGCCTTACTCCATCTCCATCTGCAAAATAAGAATAATAATACTAACTTGCCTGATATCACACAGATATCCTGTAAGATGACTCTGACTTGGTTGGGGAATGGCTTGAGCTCAGTAAGTCCTTAGGATATAGGCAGATGCTTTGGATCCTCTGAGGATGCATGCCTGTTGAGGCAGAAAGTAGAAGTTACTATAGACAGTGAGAAGGGCACTTGTTTTTTGTCCATTTTAGAAAAATGCTCAATGGTGAATGGGCACTCTAGAAAAATCTAGATAGGTAGTCAGTGCTGATACATAATCTGTATTTGCAAGAAGCATCCAGAAAGAGCATCTTGAGAGGTCAAACAGGTTCCTGAAATTTCCAGAGGACTGCACACTTGCACTTCTAAAAGCATGTAACATATTTGGTTTTATCTTTGAATGTTAGGAGTTAGAAGATTTGATGGAAAAACACAGTGTCCTAGAAATCAGTTTCCTGAAAGATAAAGAAGATATATTCATCTCGCACCAAGATCATTACAAAGAGCTCCAGGTAATTCTGCTTCTTTCTCATATTGAATACCTAGCAAGTACACTACCTTGTAGTTTTGATCAATAGGCCTGACAGGAAGTAGAGGTGCACTGATGGATTGGCCCAATAACGGATTGGCACCAATGTAAAGAAAATTGGCCGTGTTGGAAATCGGTCTGATGTGGCTGATAATTTGGCTGATAAAGGCCCGTGCATGCACATAACCACAATGTAGCACATAGGCAGCGAGGAGCACAGCTTGGCAGTGTGGAGAACTGCATGCAGATGGTAAGTCTGTCATCGTGGAAGGGGAGGGGGGAGGAAAGGAGTGTGGAGGGGCACATCAAGGCCCCTGCAGTGAGGAAGGGAATGGGGCTGGGACAGGAGCGGGACAGAGCCACGGCTGGGGGGGGTGGGGAGGCGGGGGGGGGGGGGTGGGGGGGGGGGGGGCGCCCCCAGCCACTGCACACACCCCGGGAGGACATGGTGGGGGCATGCCCATGGATCTGCATGGGGTGTAGGTGGGGTAGGCTGCAGCTGCAGGCTGGGGCTGGGGCCATGCCGAGCTCTTTCCAGCGCAAGTGGGGGGATGTCGGGCCATGGCTGTGCTCAGGGTGGGAAGTGGCAGCACTGGGAGGGGGGGCTGGGGGCTTAATTTTGGGGTTGCTGCAGGCCCCCACCTGTAACCCCTCTCCCAGTGCCACTGCTGCCAACCCCAAGCACAGCCTGGCCCAGCCCCCACCGAGAAGAGTCTGGTACTGCCCTGGCTCCAGCCCATTCTGCCCTGCTCCACCCCGCACGCAGATCTGGGGACACATGCCCCCCCTGTGCCCTTCTGGGGTGCATGCAGTGGTGGGAGCCGGCCTGCTCTCCCTATGCCCCCCAGATTAGCTGTGGCTCTATCTCACACCCCACTCCACCGCACCCCACCCTGGCTGGGCAGTCCCTGCCCCAGCCCCATTCCTTTCCTCACTGCAGGGGCCTTGATTTGCCCCGCCACACCTCTTCCCTCCCTCCCTCCTCCCCTTCCACCACAACAGACTTACCAGCTGGATGCAGCTCTTCAAGCTGCCAGGCTGCGTATCGAAAATTGGATCAGTATTGGCTGATATACCTCCTTAAACATCGGCTATCAGTATCAACCCCCAAAATCTCTATTGTTGCACCCTAACAAGAAGCCTTTGAAGCCAGTAAGAGAATTTAAATTCATTTTAGTAGTCTTTAGATCAGGCTCTATATTCTACACTAGCCAACTGCCCATCAAGAATGACCGGATGGGAGGAAGGGAGCGGGCAGGGATGGAGCCCCATGACCACCCCCCTCCCCATCTGGGCCCGCTTCTCCCTTCCCTCCTGCTGCTTGGGGTCCGGGCCCGATCTGGAGAGCGGCGGGGGGAGGGGAGAAGCAGGCCCAGGCCCAACGTGCGGGAGGACTGGGACCAAGGGCGGGGAGAAGCTGGGCCTCTGCAGTCGGCGGGGGGGGAGCAGCGGGTCCAGGCTGACCCAGTGGTGACAGGATGGGAGAAGCAGGTTTGGGGCTGACGTTGTGGAGGGGGGGTGGGGCAGG